GCGCTGTATGTAGCACAGGACCCAGAGCGGTAGTGTGCAGGAGACTTGTGTCTACTGCTACGGCTCGGGTTGTACTGATCTGAAATACAACAATGTTGTACACTGTACATTAACTGCTTTACACTGTACGCTGTTTATTTTAGGCTGTACATTCTGTGTTGTACACGTGAAGCTAACGCAAATTGCAACTAATATTGAAATCTTATATGTTTTATAATCATAACTCCTACTTTAAATAAGCTTTTGAGAGAAAAAAGATGATTTTTGATATGAAATTTGATATATTTGCTATCAAAGTTTGCGTAAATTCAGAGCAAGAAGAGGATCTACGAGGTAAAACAATCGTACTAGTAATGTCGCATATATTTGAGTTTCTTCTTCACATAAATTTTACTAGATGGGGATCATTTAATTGGTGTACAGTTCCGTTTTGCCTCATATAGCCTTTATTTGTACAGTACTGCTTGCCTTGGCTAGTTGAAATTTGGCCCGGTACATGAAATGAACTGGAATGTACCATGCCTTCCGTCTTTTTTACATTGTTTAACCTTTACATTGTACGTCTGTTTGTTGTTCTCTGTACATAGTACTTTGTACACTTTTTAAATAATGATGTTTTGTGTGTTTCTGGAATCCTGAGTTTAAAGTCCATGTTTGCTTTCAAGCATTATCTCAGGTTTGAACAGTATAAAAGAATGAATAAGTTTATGAATTTATTAGTGCTTTTAAAGTTTAAAACTTTACTGCTAAACTCAGAAAAAAAATATAAGGTAAAATATTCTTTTATCAATTTAATTTAAAAAGTTTTAAATGCAAATTATAAGTCAGTTTAAGTAATTAAGAACACATTTATAAATCATTTTACTAAACAACATTTGTTTCTTTCAGGTATGATTCTTTCGATTGTATCTATTCTTTTAGCTGGATATCTGGCCTCCAGTAGCAGGGTAAGTTTTTACATCAATTCAAACCATATCCTGCGAAACAGTATGCTTGATTTAATAAAAATGTTAAAACAATTTCACTCAATAATTAAACTTACAGCTTTCTTTCTATTTTCATATTTGTAATTATAAGCTAGGTTTTAATTGTCATTATGTTTATATTGGTATTTATTGTAGGGATCTGTTTCTGCAGAAACAACTGCTGTACTACTAGGAGGTGCATATGGTAAGTTTTTCTTATTTTATTCTTGTATGTATGTTCTAACTTTTTGAGTCCATATTTTGCAAAAATTCCTTGTCACACCTGCTGCCCATCTATCACACACACCCAATCCATCATACATTCCCGGGCGCGCGTGTTCAATAGTATATAAATATACTAAGTTCTAGCATTCCCTGTTTTTCTTAGTCCCTGAACATATAGTAACGTATTGATAGTATAGGACAAATACAACATATCATTATTAGTACATTTATACAGTTTATAAACATATGTTTCATAACTACATAAACTTAACCCTGTATGTAAACTAATTGATGCTTTCTATATTCTGCAAACTTGTGACAACCGTAACATTTCTAATTATCGTCGCGTATTGCTTTAGAGCTGCACTTCTCATCAAATATATAATACCGAAATTACAAAATATAACGTTTTACAATTTTAGTTAGTAAACAGGAAGGATTCTATACAAGTTCGTATTTCTCTTCTTTGATGAAAACTAAGATTTAACTTTAATCAACAAACATTTCTTTCAACCTTCTTTAATAGAATCATCATTATATTTTGTTCAGAGCAGCTACTTGCATCGAATACATAATACCAAAAATATATCATTTTAAATAATTTTTAGGTTTTAACTTTTATAAACAAAAATTTGCTTTCTAAACTTTCTTTAATAAAACGGTTTAACTTTCTAGTTTATTTAAAACAAGTAAAACCAGTAAAAATTTACTGTTTATTTCATCTTTCAGAGAGCTTTAGTTATTATATACTCAGAGGTTAATAAGTACATAGATATAGATAATATTTAGATACATATATACATATACATATAGATACACCACACGTATACACACATGAGATATTAGCCAAGTAGGGTTATAAATAGGTAAATAATCAAATACACTGAGCAGATAGTTAGGGTTATATAAAATCACAGATTAGGATAAGTGATTAAATTGGGGGTTTTAAAAATTAGTTACATGTCTAATTCAGATACAGATTCCACACTAACTGAAGATATTCAATCATTATTAAATTATCTTTCTAGCTCAATACAAATAATAGGAGGTGCAATTACAATATCAGGGATAGTAGTAGCCGTGACACCCCTAGTTCTCATATCATTTACATTTAGAGTCGCACAAAAAGCTGTAGTAGCGATTTTTCCCTCCGATTTCTCCAGAAATAGAAGAGAAGAGTAGTTTTAATATAAATAGTAAAATAGAAGGTCTCCAAAATAAAAATATAGAAAATCATTGTTTGCAAACAGATATTAGTATATACATAGATAAAAAGCTGATAAGCAATTTTAATATAAACAAATAAAGGCATACCCTAAGTCCTAAACAAAGTATTAAATAAATAAAGGCAGATATAAGTCCTGATTAAGCGCATAAGTACATATATATAAAAGATACATAAAGGCATACACTAAGTCCTAAATAAAATATAAATAGATAAATCAAGGCAGATATAATTTAAAAAATTAACCATAAGTACGTACACATATTTATAAGATAAATAAAGGCAGATATAAGACCTATTTAAGTGGAAAATATATATATATATATACATAGATATATTACAAATAGAAATAAACTACGTGAGAAGAAATATACGGTAGAATTTAGTTTTAAAAATCTGTAAACTCCTAACGTTAGGTAATACGACACATATAGGCATTAGAGAGACACAAAACATAGAGTATAGAATAACTAAACTAGAGATATCAGATACACATTTATAGTTATATATATAAATACACATTTTAGTACCAGAAAAGAGGTTTTCAAATTAAAATATCAAAGGTAGACAAAAGAATCTTTCGACAAAATCTAAAACATCGAGTAGGTAAAATAGATACATAGAGATATCACATACAAAATATACTAAAATAAAGTTAGATAGATATATTTATAAGATATTATTACAACATATTTATAACAAATCTGTAAAATATAAGACAAAATAGAGTTCCATAATTTCCAATAGGAGACATCAAACATATATCTAAAAGAGATATTAAACTAAGGGGTCATTACAAAATAAATCACAAATCTTTAACAAAAATATAAATTTAAACTTCTGATCAATACACAAATAATTTTTATTAAGATTATCAACCATGCCTTTCAGTACCAAGAGCAGCAGAAACTCATCAAAACACACAAGTATGGAGTCAATTCCAGATCACCTGTCCCAAGAAAACCAATCTCAAGAAGATGTCAGGATCTATCTAACAACCTCAGAAATGCAAGATCTTCTTAACAAAGCCTCAGAGAATGATGATCTAACTGCAACTTTGCAAAACCCATTGGGTAAACTATTGATTCAGATGCAGAACAGTCACAATAAATGGATAGATTCGGGAAAAGTAGATGGAGAAAAAATTTCTGTATCAGATCTCAGCAAAGCTTTCCAAGAAAACCTTTCAATTACACAGAAGAATTTAAAAACCGCCATGGAGAAATCTGCTTCTACTGTAAAAGATGAACTTTACAAAAGAGATCTACTGTATCATACCCATAATCCATTGATCAAGTGCCCTGATAAATTCGCTTCCCATCCGACACTTACATCCATCTCAAGGCAAATAGAATCCAACAAACTATTCCCCCAAGGAAGACAAAAATTCTCTGGAGGTAGTAACCCCCCAATAACTGAATGGATATATTCAATGAACGCCGGTCAAGCTAAACTCAATTTATCAGAAGAAGAATTCAAAGATAAACTTTTATCATCAACTACAGGTGAAGTTCACAGTTTAATACGATCTCTAATTCAAGAAGAAGATTCAATTGGAGGCATCTATCATAAACTACTTACCATGTACGACTTTACAATTAAACCAGATAAGGCAAAGACTGAATTATTAAATTACAAAATTCCAAGGAGTTCAACACTTCATAAGGGACAATGTAGAATAATTGAACTATCCAGCGCTGCGGCTAGGATATTTCCAGAAGGTAACATGCGTAAGCAATTCTCAAATATTGAAGCTTGTACAGCACTCATCAGAGCACTACCATATGCAAGTTCTACCATAGTAAATAACGCCTATAGCAAGATGCTTACAGTAGCGGCTGAAAATGGTACCACACCGCTTTTCACAGACTTAATTTCACTCATCAACCCATATCATGAATCCATAAATGATGACATCAAAAGAAATGGAAAGGTTTACTTACTACCTTCATTAAGACCATATAGGCACCTCCGAGATCATCCATATCAAGCTGGAAAATTCATTTCTTCATCTGGTAGACGCACTCTCCAAACAAATAGTCTAGATCAACAACCATACGGATCCCAACCAAGGACAACTCAACAAAACAAATTTCTGAACACACTATATTGCTCATTGTGTGGAAAAAATACCCATCGAGCATCAGATTCTTGCTACGCCATGCGGGATGATTCTGGTCGTGTAGTGAATGTCACTCCGAGTCAAGTACCATGTACCATTTGTGAAAAGAAGATGAACAAAAAATTATATCATCCACTAAAATTTTGTTTCAATAGACTGAAGGCCCAAGCCACATCAAATATCGCAACAAAAAATCTTACACAAAAATACAACACAAGAAACTTCAAACCTGGAAGGAATATTACCAGGAAATTCTGACAATCATCGACACAGAAAGGGAGTAAATTCTACCAAAATGGTGAAATTAAGCACAAAAACATAAAACAAATCAGTACAAATAAATTAAATATTCAACTCTCAGGAGGGAACCTACAACCTCTTGGTCCGCGAAAACCTCAACTGAAAACAAACAAACACGTTTTAAATAAATCAATCATAAACTCGCAATTGTGGAACACTTCAACAGATAATATGGCAGTAAAATTTTTGAATATCTCAGCGTTATCCATCATGAAAACCCTCCTCTCACATAACCCAAAAAGAAAATGTTTATATATGTTCAATAAAACCACTAAACTCGATGATAAGGGCAAGAAAGTATACATAATTTTATATCTACACACCCATAATTCCTCTCGTTCTTCCCTGCTCCTGGATTCAGGCAGTGATTTAAGCCTTATACATGAATCAGAGATAAATAAACTATTAACAACAAAGGAAATTATGAGATATAAGACTAAGTGTACACACAAGGTAGAAAGTTTTTCAAACCACACCGTGCCCATTTTATATAATATTACGCTACCGTGGAGCCCCCATAAGGTAGGACCGATTATTTACCTGACTTTCAGTGTATATACACAAGCCGTTGCGCACGGCTTATTGTTTGGCAAAGATAATATGCAAAAGATGGGAATGGTTTTATCCTTTGAGAAGTCGACACCCAAGGTTATGATAACCAACCCCATCAAAACAACAATTGAAAGTTACCATGCGTTTCCACAAGAAATCAAGACCTGCTCAGCAACATTTTCATTAAAACCACAGGAGACTAAATCGGTCATCTTTAAACCACATCACTTATCAAACATTAGAAAAGGAGACAAACTACTCATATCGGAATCCAATCACACACATATTCATGTTCTGCCATCTCGCTACTCAGCTTACTCTATTTCCTCTCTACCTCTAATTGCCTGTGTCACCAATTTAAGTAATGAACCTTTTCAAGGAAAAATCTCCGCTGAGACTGAAGAAATATCTGATGAAGAAATAATTGCCCATGAAAACCTAGATACTCTGCCACAACACTTAAATATTTACCACGAAGCTGTCCAAACAAATTCAGCATGCAATCTACCAATTTTAAAACTCATAGAACCGTTACCCAGTACTGATGAAAAAGTAACCCCATTAACTTCCTTTCTCATTAAAACTCCATTTGAAACTAGAAATAATATCTCAACAGAAACCACAACTCCACCACCATTACCAGTTACCGAAGATCCTGCTCTGATAACAGAATTACAATCAATCCCATTTCAATCTATACCAGGAGAACCGTCATCCCCGGTTCCAGCTCCAGATTTTCCAACAGAATTAACACTTCCACAAGGATACGAACTACCATGTAATTTACCACAAACTGTGGAAGAAATTTTAAATTTAGATCAATATGAACCACTACATCAACAATATTTAAAAGAAATCTTTATTGACAAATTTCCTACCGTAGTGTCACTCCATGGTTATGATGTAGGAAATCTATCTGACACTATGGGATATTATAAAATCCAATTGAAGGATAACTCTCCTCTGCCAGTTTTCAAGAAAATGTATTATTTAGCTCCAGAGGACAAAATGAAAATGAAAGATATATTAGATTATCTTATGAAATATAAAATTATTGAACGTGCTAGTCACTTAAGTGATGTACGCCATTTACATGCATGCCCAGCGTTCCTTGTACCAAAACCGGACCCTCAATCATCCGCCCGCCTAATTATTGATTACCGCCTTCTAAATGAAGCTATCTTAACAGCACCAGCGGTTATACCAAGCCTTCCAAATACTCTGCAAGCACTGCGAAATAAATACATGTTCTCAAAAACGGATATAACTCAAGCATATTTTTCACTTAGTATTGATAAGGAATCACAACCACTTACTAGATTTGTTACCGATTTTGGTTCATTTCACATGCTTAAATTATGTATGGGGATATCTATTAGTCCCCAATGCTGGTCAGAAATTACTCATAGAATGGTTCACATGGTTCCAAACCTTGATAAACTAGGAAATCCAATATTTCTCGAAAACAATGTGGTTGATCTACGGCCTGACCACATTCACGGTTGTGAAGTCTTCTATGATGATTTAATATTTGCAACAGAACTTCAACCAACTTATGAAGAAACTGTAAAAGTACATTATGCACTGATAGGTAAGGTCATAGAACGCCTGACTTTTCACAAAGCCAAACTCTCTCTACATAAATCTGAATTTGGTAAAACGAATATCCGCTTCCTTGGTTGGTACATATCACATAACACTTTATTCCCCGACCAAAAGAGAGTTGATAAACTGTTAAATAGTCCTTTCCCTACCAATGTTCATGGGATGAGATCTTTTACAGGTCTTTTGAACACAATTAGGACAACTCTACCATGCACATTCATGCATGAACTATCACTGCTAACCCCATTATGCAGTTCAACAAAGCCATATCAACCTACAAAAATGCATAAAGCAGCGTTTGAGAGGATAAAAATTCTTCTTACTGAGACTCCAATCTTTAGCAGAATAATACAACCATCAGCAAAGAAAATCCTGTTCGTTGATGCCAGTGATAAGGGTTGTTACTCAGCTGTACTTTGCCAAATGGAACAATTGGCACCTTCGGATACACATATTCCAGAGACTCTATCTCTATCAGATCCAGTAGACCGAATAATTTTCGATCATAAGCTATGCTATGAACCAGTACCATTATATACCCTGGATAAACTGGTTCCCAAATCTACACTTCCAGAATTCGTTAATCGGAAGCCAGTTAAGGACATTTCATTCCTAAATGAAGACTTCTTGGGATACACAGAGGGGTCAGTTAAACAATCATTGTTTATTTCTATCCGTTCAATACAATATGCTTATAACTGTCAACTGTCGGATCCAACTTTCCTAAAACAAGAAGCTATTAAAAAATTGAAAGCAAGTTTAACCAACCATAAAATTCTAGATTTTCAATTCAAAAATGATAAAACTGCATATAACGAATTTCTCCGAAATTTCCAATTTAATAATGGTCCTGTGGATGATAATCTCTATTTAGTAGAACTCATAGCTATTGTTCTAAACCGTCCATTTACCATCATTTCTACATTAGAAAAACACAGCCAGAATAAAATCCTACAGTTTGTCCATGACTCTAAGAAACCACCTTTTGTCTTCGGTCTTTACAAAAAAAAGGATATCCTTATTTTTCGCCCTTATTTTATAAACAAACATTCTTCCTTTAACCTGAAGGAAATAGCACACAAATTCCAAATCGTCTCTTTTTGGGCTAAAACCATTAGTGAAGCAGATGCCAAATTATGCATTGCAGAAAAAGAACTATTTGCAATTCTGGGCGCTCTGGACAATTTTTCGAAATTAATAGGAAGTTCAGAAATTCTATGTCTAACAGATAGTCGAGCTCTATTCCTATTGTTTTCAAATCCGGTATCAAAATCCATATCCAAACTATCCAGATGGGGTCAAAAACTACATCAAACATATCCTCTTCTAAAATTTCGTTTCATCAGCACCAAACATAATATGGCCGATTTCCTAACCAGGAATTTCAACATTTCACGCCAAGACATGAAACGTCTACCCCTTGAAAGTTTTGAAGTCTCCAACCTAGACAACTACATTGATCCTGATAAAGAATTCACCCTAAAAGAGTGGGAAAACTTTGTAAAGGACCACGAACATCTCTTATCATACAAACAACCAACAAAACCACAAAAACGACTTTCTGTTAACACCCTCTCAAGAACGGTTAAAAATGTTCAAAAACTATTATTACCAATGGATTCTCTTCAACATAAAATATCACACTCAAATATTGCTACTGAACAACAGAAAGAGTTCAAAAATATTATAGAATCCTGTTTAAACAATGAATCCTTTTTCTGCAAACAAGAAAATAATGAATATAAACTGTCAAATGGTCTCCTCTACTGTAAGGACCAAGATATATATAAAATACTTATCCCACCGTCTCTTGAAGGCGTCCTGATTGCCTATACACATTTATCTCAAGCTCATGCTGGGGTTGCAAAAATGTCAACTACCTTATTTCCGTACACATTTCCGCAAAAATTGGCAAAGATAAAACATCTGTGTATGCGCTGCTTTCCCTGTGCCCTAACTAATCCGTCGACCAGAAAACAATTGCTTGGAAGCTATCCAATTCCAAATTACATTTATGAAACCGTTGTTGCAGATTTAGCAGAATCTTTACCTCCTTCCCAGGGTCATCATCATATTCTTATATTTTGCTGCCCACTTACCAACTTCATAACCTGTTACCCATTAAAATCCAAAACCGCCTCTTCAGTAGCATTCCATTTTACACATGGTTTATTTCAAACATACAGAGTTAAATATTTTCTCTCGGATAATGGTACTTGTTTCTCTGAAAAACATTTCTTAACATTATTACACACTCTAAATATACAAAGAATTCACATTGCAGCTCTCCGCCCAGAAAGCAACGGCCGAGCCGAATCAGCGGTAAAACAATTAAAATATCTTCTTAAGAAAACTCTTTCAACCTATCCAGACTCACCTTGGACTGATATTTTACCATTGCTAGTAAAACAAATAAATACAACTGTACATCCAAACACTGGTTTCTCTCCATTGGAACTCCTTCACGGTCAAAATTCACCGTCGGCAGACTCACCATTTCATCAACCGCCTCCTACCAAATTTTATCCATTATTACAAAATCTCAAAACAATGGTTAAATCAAAAACTGAAGAAACCAATGCTATTACTGAATTCATTAAAACAGAGTTACAACTCCGTAAAATTGATGTACAAAACCGCCTAAATAAGAACCGTATTTCTAAACCATTTGAAATTGGTGACTTTGTATTTGTCAAAGATCGTTCAATAACAGTTGGAGTAAATCCTTCTTTAAGAACCACTTACAGCCCAGATCCTCACATAGTTCTTCAAGACCGTCCAACCTCTTTGGTTGTTCAAAGATTATCAGACTCTTTTCAATCAGTTTACTCTAAGGACCATGTAAAAAAGTACAACCGTTTGGATGCATCCTTCTCACACCTACCACAACCCGTAAAAGACGTCCTAATCAACAAATTTGAAAAATTAGACAAACTACATTTTGATGAATTGCAAAAACATGCTCAACTACATTTGCCACAAGGTTTCTCTTTAAATCCAACTATCTCTGAAGACCCTCTGACCTCTTCAGATCTCTGGGATCAACCAAATATTGATCCTACATCCTTGATACCAACACCAGAAAAAGATATGAGCGTATCAATACCACCAAACACCTCTTCAAATCTAGCAAACCCAGAAATAACTCAAGATCAACCAGAAGATACAACCAACCTTGATGACCAACTACACATTGAAAAACCACAACCACATAAACCACTGCGTTCTCATAAATATAATACCAGACTTCAAGCAAAAACAACCCTGGATACTGACAGCTCTGATGAAGAAGACCAATCTCCAAATAAAAAGGTTACTTTTGCTTAATATTCAAACATAAAATAAATTAGTAAATTTTTTTTTGATAATAATATAAAATTCCACATAATATATGACGTCTCATTTCTTTGCTAATCAATGGATTATAGTATTGCATATTTCGCCTTATATTTATTCTACAATTTTTAAATAATATGTTTTATTACATTTTCCAATATAGGTGTAAAATTTCTTGCTGGGTATCTACAGTAGATGTTACATCTTATTTATGTCATATTATTTGTTTCCATAACTTTTTCTGACACAAAATTTTTTTTTGGTGGATAACCTAGATATACTACTTTGTTTTCTGTAAGACACTATACATACATCACTCATATATATACTACGTTCCCCTTATATCGATCATATACAAATATTTTCAAAAAATTTTGTGTTCCATCCCATCCATACACTCAATCTGTCAAAGTTTCCACCCATCTTACTGTTCACACTTTAATGTGGTTTTCCCCACCTATCTACTAGTACTTTCTCCTTACCAGCCAGACACTTTGGCTCTCTCTCTCTCTCTTCTTTCTTATATTTATGATCTTTCTTTTCAACTTTTTCAGTTCTCTTTGAACAATCATAGAAAACACAGGACTATAACAATAGTGACTAGTAATCCATTTAGCATAACCTATACTTAGCATGATCTAGATTCTTTTTGAATTTTACAATTTTTTCTTTGCCCCTATACTCGTATTCTATAACAAGTTCATTATTATTTATTACTCATAAATGGTTAATTTTCAAAATTATTGGTCATGTTTTTAACTTTAAACTTAATATATTTCAGTCATCAAACGAACAATCTCTTTTTCCGACTTTGCAAAATTATCTACATATTTTTAATATGCCAATAAAACATATATCTTACACAAAAATTTCATATTTCAATTCTTTTTTGACATTTATTTTCTTTTAACTTTCCCGGTTACACTTTCAATAAAGTTTCCCAGTCCATCATCACTTTCCAATATAGTCCAGAAAACTACATTAAGCTAAATTCACGCCTACAAGGGTAAAATTTTCTATGTTCTTATGTTTTCTACACCCCCCCCCCCGCTTATTTTACAGTGTCCAGAAACAAATTATTTATGTCTCACATTCACAAACTTATTATTCTTTTCAGATATTAGATATCCTACAGTTTAGGTATTATCTAGTTTTATTGGGAATTTTTAGGCAATGATGGCCCCACATATACCAGGGTTTACGCCCATGGAGGACCAGGGTGATGGTTTACTGCACTACCAAGAAGATCCTCATAATATTCTGATAGACCCCACCAATGAAATTAGTAATCCGCCGGTCGATGATCTTTATGAGACGGTACAGGCTCAACAGATATATGTCAATACAAGAAGAAGACTCGATAGTTTCACACCATTAAATCCTAGGACACAACTGAAAGTAAATTCTTTCTCTCATCGCGGATTATGTGCCAGTCAACATATCCAAGATCTTCAACTATCGTTAGCTCTTAACAGCATCCGCTTCCCGGAGCCGAGCGATCCTAATCTTGCTCCCTGTGAGGAAACAGAAACGTGCATACACTGCGAAACTATACCTCAGGTATAATTTCTAATAAACTTTAAACAAAAGATAAATGCATTGTAATTGATTACTATAATCTTTAAGACGACATTTACAGAAAAATTATACGGTTGAAAGGTTGCGTGATTTTCTTACACGGTAAACATTGGCTTTCTCATTTAAAACTAAACAATCAGCTGTTAGTCCTGAATAACATAAAATGAACAACTCATGCCGAACGTCAAATTCACTGTACGAGTAAGTTAATATATTTATAATTCATATCATTCTAGGTGAAATTATCGGACCACCAACGGTTGGGCCCGTTTGGGAATCGTCACCCCCTGGCTACAGTTGGTCCTAACAAGATGGGCCAGCTAATCCTCGCCATCTTTGCAATCATTACCCAAGCCGGATCGCTGCAGTGTAAAGAATGTCACCAGGACCACGACATAACTGAAGCAAAATCCTTCATCGCCCATGGCCTTACTCATGGGGGAAATCTTCCACCCATGGCCTGTTTGCCGGATTTGCAGAAATTTTTTTCTACATCTGCAATTTTCTGCTGCAACTGTTTAATGTTAATGCCATCCATGGCGTCATACATCCTACACTCCTTCCTAAAACACCATACACCCAACCTGCCTATTTACTGTTGTCTCTGCGTCAAGTTCGTAAAAAATACAACTTTGGAGCAACATATGATCAACTATCATCCAATGTTAAAATGCCCGGTATGTTTAATTAAGTTGTCAACCCTGGATCTCATGGAGCATTTGTTATCTCCCACTCCACATCACGCCTTTTCAATTGAGGAAATTCTTCCACATTTCTCCAACGATTTGGCCGCCATATTAATTAGAGCAAAGAACACCACTCAATGGTGGATTTCCAGCGCAATTGACATTGCTCACAGACTGCTTCCTTTGAAAATCCTGAATCAGTATGACTTTTTATCAACGGCAGGTTTTAACAGACTACTGTCAACTCCTTATCCGGTATCTTTTCCATCTGGAACTAGCTTATTGATCACGGCAAATAAGGATTTCATCGAAACTACTGATCTAATAGCCCTACTTGGACTATTAGAATCTGCGTCCACCTTTAGGTATCATAAGGAGAAACTACAACTCTATCTATATGAACTCCTGCAAATACGTATATCGAGGGAAGTATCAGAAATGTTGTTGTATTCAACCCCAACCAGCCTAGGTGATTTTATATCTGAACTTCCGAACAGTATGGAAGTAGATCATCTAGTGGGATTTATAAGCACCACGGACCCGACCTCCCTGTTCAATCTACCTTCTACCATTAGTTTCTTTATAATCGGATCTAATCTACTAAAGAACGTGGGTTCACATCCAGCATCACTGGAATACTTTGTCACTTTAAGCACAAACGTTGACATGTTGTATCCGACCAACTGGTTCGACATCCTTCCCTATAATCGCGGGACAGGATATATAAGCTTGACACACTGCCATAACATCTGGGTAACTCAAGATCAGTCGTTCCTCACCTACCTCTACAATATCATAGGACACCTGAATGAAGAGAAAATAATCTTTATAGAGATTGACGTATCTTCTTTACTCGTAAAAATCCCTAAACACCTACTTAGGGCTACTCTAAAAGATGACCTCAAACAGCTGTTATTTGGTTACTTTACAGGAATATTAGTCCTATTCGAGGATTTACCAAATGGAAAAAAAATCAAACGCCGTTGCGTACTTGTTAATCAACTACCGTTCAGACTGCCGGCTCTTAGTATACAAGAAAACCAACAGCTTCATTTTCAGATCTCCTACATCAATGAATGTCTCGCAGCTATGTTTCAAATCAACATAGTAACAAGTTACTCAATTGTGGGTTCAGGATTAACATCAAAAAGTTCAATGTCTACAGAGTGTGGACCTACCCTCGGTCCAGATGGCCGCCTCTCTCCAAAAACAATAAGGGAGCTCAAACAGTTCTTATCACACATGAATCGAAAGATCGTTTCATTCATGGATAAAGCTTTATAATGGCTTTCATCAAGGTTAATGCTTTACCAATGACAAAAATTAAATACTTTTTGTGTCCATAATTTTTTTTACTAAAAATCTAAACAAATGAAATAGAAATTATATTAATGTCCAGTAAAAAAATGATTTTTTTTTTAATTATACATTTTAAAAAAAACATAAAGTTTTTAATAATTATATAAAATTGCGACAAACACATTTTTAACTGAATGATATATTTTGAGCTCACATCCCGCTTAGATATTAAAAACAAAATTTTCATCCAACAAAGATCGCAATCGTTCTTTATTTTCAAACGATACTAATTTGTTCTATTATTTTAGATGAAATCGTTGGTTCTACTAGTCGCCCTGGTTCTTTTCAACTTCATTTCCTACTCCTCTGCAATTAAGTTTTTTATCGACGACGAAACCTTAAAAGTTCCAACTTCAACCTCTTCAACATATTTTACGGTAAATTTATTAGACATACCAGAAAAAGTTGATATAACTGAGTTGAATACTTCATTTAACACCTTCTTTAAACATATATCCGACCCAAAAATAGATCCATCAATCAAAACAATTTTACTTGATCTACAATCTTCTTATAAGTATTTTTTAACACTTTTATCAAAACGAAAATCTTACTTCAAAGACGGCCAAAGCCCGGTACAAAGACCTTGCTATTTGGATATTTCCATTCTAAATCCCTCCTTACCATCACATATAAAGGCCATGGTTAAATTAATGTCGTCTTTAACTCCTTCTACAAACAACTTAGAGAATACGTCAGAACTGGCTACTCAATCTTTTGTTGGAACGTCAACTTTTTTAAGTGTTTATCTTTCAACTATACAAAATTTTCTACATGAGGAATCAGAGCTTATTACAGAACTATCGCGTCATGCTGTCCCTGATTTTTTCTTCACATTGTTTGATAATCATCCTTGCATAAAACCGTCTTTATATAACAAAATTGAAGTTCATAATTTTGATATTACTATCAAAGGACCAGTAATTACTTTTGACATTAAACAAATCTTCGCTGAAACAAAGTACACAAAAATCGTCCCGGTCCCATTTTTTAATCACATTCTGGATGTCGGCGTAGATTACAATTCGTTAGTTAGAAATAATCATGGAGAATTAATTTCCCTATCCTGCGACCCGACTGGTTATCCTTGTCGGGAAACACCCTTAATCTCTGATTGTATCAATAATATAAATAATGATTTCAGGCAAATCTCAGCATACTGTACTTTGATACCTTCAAACTCGACACCCCAGTCAACAACTTCGGGTATTCTTATTCCAGCGTCATCACAATTATTCCGGGAGGATGCAAATACAATTGATATAAATGTTCCCAGCTTGCTGACGACTCCAAAACAGGTAAAAATTAAAACCGATGACGAAACCTACATTTTTGGTCCAACGTCTACAAAAGAATTTAAAATTGACTCATTCTTTTTGAACCTTGCTGAATCGAAACAACTTCTTGAATCAATATTAAACCCTTTCACTGGCTACGTCCCTACTCTGAGTGAAAAAATAGTTTTTGGAACCTCGACCGGCCTCATTTTTTCAATGGTATCATTTTTAGCAATTTTTACTAAATTTCGTCGTCCATCTGACGGCAACCACCCTGAAAATAGACATCCAGTAGTTTTTCGTCTATCCACTAGACCACTAGCGTAATCGAAATTCAAATATGTATCCCCACCTTCATTACTTGTAAATATTTTAATGAGTTTAATTTATACTGTCAATATTTTATGTTTTCTTAAACCTAAATTTTACTTAACTTAATCACATAAAATCTACAAAAATTTAAATTTCAAATTTTATATTTAGAAGTTTTAAAATTTTTATTCTTACCCTTATTATTATTTTTAAACCCACAGTTATTTTTTTCAAACAAAAGCCCAAACTACCTAATTTTATTTGTTAACTTTTAATTTAAAATTATTTTTATTTAGAACCATTTTCTCTGTTTCTGTTGGTACCAGAGCTGAAACTTTTCATTGAAATCTCAGTACTTCCGATGAATAATTAATCTACGGCTCGATGAGTGGAGGATTCAAATCTACCTGCAAACTAACTGTCGAGTAAATTACTTCAGACCCAATGACGTCGGTCAAACATCACAGATTCGACCCGACCTATCCACTAATATATTTAAATACAAAAGGATTTATGTTGGATTAATTTGTAAAGTTTTCACCTCGATATAATTACAAACAAATTATGAATAGAAATGAACGATTTTTTTTTAAAGAATTTTAAGTTATTATTTTCGTTAAACCAGAAGAACCATCGCATTATTTAAGACGCAAAAATCTAAAATATTTTGGTGCACCTACGATTTTCTTTAATTTTTCATAATTTTTCATTTTTTTATAAACTTTTCTTAAGTTTTTACGTCTATACCAAAATTTATAATGTTGTAAAAAAAAATTGACAACTTTGTTTTGAACTGATTTTGAATCTGTACTTTTTATCTCATTTCAAATGAATACTAAATAATTAATTAATTAATTAATTAATTAATTATGACTAGGACATTTAATTATATCGTTATGTTAAATTATCAAATATTTCATTAAAATATGCTCTGTTAAGACCTTTTACATGTAACCACAAATTCGCTTGTTTGATTTTAATTTTTAATTTGATTTATGCATCCTTGTATGTTAAAATCATTGGTTCGTAAATTATTTGTTAGTTTTAGGTTAAGCAACATTTAGATTTAATTTCTTTTACTAACATAAATTTTAAAAGTTTGAAAACAAATAACTAACAGTTAGTTTGATAAATGTAATTTGCTCTTTAACTTAAATTTATTGAATAAATATGTTAATTTCATTTCTTTATTTCAAACAGAGTTTGTAACTTTTTGGTCACCTTACTCCTTGCTGTAACTATACATGATTAATCCTACAACAACTCATAATCCAACAACTACTACCTAATGTCCAACTTCCGGTTTTCTATCACTTCTCATTTTTATCCTTTTTCCGGCTGTCTGTTCCCTACTGTCTACGTCTTACTGCCTGGGATTTTCTCTCTTTCTCATCCTACTCCGTGCTGTTTAAAATGTACACCTTCTCTATTTCCAATATCAAAACGCCTAATCTAGTAAGTTAAACTTTTCTTCTTATTCCGGTATAACAAATTAGAAATTATTTTTTGGTTGCTTAAAATTACTTTACTGTTTGACATTAAAAATTGATTAATTGATTACTACATAAAATATCCGGTTCCTTTTAAAAACTACTCGGCTATATCGACATAAAGATATGTCGACCCTAAAAGATTATAAGCATACCAAAAAATTAAAGGAACATTCACCAAATTTTAAATAATGTCTGTCAATATCCTTTCTCTTTTTATATTCGACAAATAGATGTGTCCTTCTTTCATCCGGCTAACTAGAAGGAAAAAATTCTTTGTTAATCTTTAATTATTTTTTTTTACTATTTGCGTTTATGTAATACACACAGCGAACCGACCTGTTTAAAATTAACCATTAAGCAATTTCCGTCATTATTTGAAATTTAAAGAGACAGTTTTAAACACTAACTAATATTCTATTCCCCTGAGCTTAAAGTTTTCAAACATCTTTTTGTCCGCAACAGACGCTATACAATAAATCTGGAACCTAGGTAAATTGTTTTTCAGCAATTGAGTAAAGCTTCTAAATATAAAAACCGTTTTTAATTCAGGCAAATTAATTAATTTCTTTTTCTACCAAAATTTAACACCTAAGTTCGCTAAAAATTTAAACGTAAATGTAGCCATAAATGTTTATGACTTTTCTAATTTCTATACTCAAATCCGATTATCTATTACTAAATTTCTGAAAAAATTTCTTCATATTCCGAAATGAAAATAAATATAAATAAGTCTGTAAACTTAAAAGAAAAGTTCGATGTGCCAAAGAAAATATAACAAACGAAATAAAAAAAAATTGGTAACACGTCAATCGATTTTCCGTTTCTAAACATATTTCTATATTTTAATCAGACAACCTTTACTAAACGTTTATTTTTGTTATTAACAAGGTCAACATACAATGAAACTGCAAAGGACGAAATTGAATGTCGAAATACAATAGGATAGCCATTTAAACATGCTGTCTATACGAAGTTTAGAATAAAACTTGAACTACAATGACCCAGCTAGTGTATACAAAAAAGTTTTCTAGAAGCCATCCAAACAAAATGTGTTTTTTGTTAACAAAGAAAAACCACGGAAATGTATTTTGTAAATGCCACAAGGTTATTTTTAAAATGCACGAAAATTTCTACACAAAAAATGATGAACTAATTCGAAAATTGAAATTGTTTTTAAAACAAATATTTCTTCGTGGCAAACATTTTCCAAACACATGAGGGTAGTTTATTGAAATACAATAAGACTGTCTCCTCCTGCTTATAGAGTGGGAGTCTGTTTCCTGAAGGAACCGCTTCGAGTCCCTAGCTTACTGGGGTCCACAGCATCCAACCTTTCCGCCTCAGTACTACGTTTCCTAATAAATCACTCTTTTTAACTTGGATATTAGAATGAAATTTCGTTTTTTTTTACATATTACAACTTAAATTTAGTTTTCATTTTGAATTTTATTTTCCAAAGCTGTTTTAGATAACAAATTATTCCCCATGTTTTATTTAAATTCACTTACATAATAATAATCAATCATATTTTTGTTGTATCCATCAAAAAAAATATTCAGCGATTCTTTTTTTATTCTTACTTACCATTTCTTAACCTTCTCCTGATCTCCCTCATCAATTCGTTCCATCTCCTCACGGTCCTGTACATTCTCCTCATCGTAAGAGTTCTGCTCCATGTGAATTTCCTTCTCGATGCAAAGTTCTCCTTCTCCGTCCTTCTCTGTCGAGACTTTAACCTCTTGAGACGGAGCATCCATCACCTCATAACCTGCCTCTGCACCCGCGGGGTTGTCACCACTATGCTGCAGGGTCAGCACGTTCTCATAGGTATGGTCATTTCCGCGGGCTGCCTTGCCCTCCTTCAACCTCCTCTCTTCGGCGTCCAGCATCTCATCAGCAAACTCCTCCAAGTTCTCATATCTAGGCAAGTTAAAAACATCACGGATTTCCCGGGCGCGATCAGCCTTCATTTCCATATATTCCTTGTTCATCTGCTCCTGTTCCGCGTTCGTGATCCCGTGTTCAGCCTGAATCCTTTAAATATTTATCTTTAAATTTTACTTTCTTCTCCATGTTAAATTCAAAGTTTTCAATTTTTCATTTCCATAAATTTATTACATAGCCAGATAAAATAAACTACGTTTTTGGTTATAATCGGGCACATTCTTACAAATTTCATATTATCGTTCATTTTACCTGCTAAATTCCCGACGAGCCATCTCGTTAACGAGTTTTTCGAATTGTCGACTAGCGTAGACGGGCCCAACTTCAAAGGCAATTCTGGAAATCTTTTCGATAAGCCGGTCATCTTTCAAATCTGTGTTCTCAATGTTTCCCTCCTTTTTCAAAAATCTTGTTTTAGATACTATACTACAAAATTACAAATTCGTTCACTTATTTGCTCGATTGTCTCAGTACAAAATTATTAATATTCAAATAATTAATTTTTATTCTCTATACCACCCATTATCACTTTTCCGGTAAATTAATTTCTAAAATATTCTACCTGTAACTCGGGGAAAAACTCCGTCTGACATGCAACTTCAAACTTCCTTATGGGTAGCATCGGCTCATACCTATATAAATTATTTCAAATAAAATTGATATTTAAAATTTTAAATATGAATAAAAAAGAAGTATTTTCTTTCTCCCCCCCCGCCGCTTTTTTAGGATATTCTTTATGTTTAACTACACCTTTCGAACTTTCCAAAGAATTAATGAACATGTTAAATAAAATAACAATTACAAATTTCACATTTTAATAACGCCAGTTCGTCTTAAGTTACAATCAAGGCAAACTGGAAATTTTAGCTTACTCTCTGAACAATATTTTAATTTACACTGTTTTGTATTTAGACAGTTTTCAATAACATGGTTTACCCATACCTTGGTTCCACGGCAGCAGCTCCAGCCTCTACTGCATCACTTCCAACAACCATACGCAGACCCTCCAGATCTCCTACATCCTCGCACAAATACCGCCCGACAGGCGCCCTCATTCTCCTTAAGGATAAATGTTAAATTATTCTTAACACTATCATACATTCATCATGTTTCTGAATGTCGTCCTCCACCAAATTCAATTTATATCTTTAAACTTTCAACTTTAAAACCAAAATTAAAATAAAATAGACCAACCAAATAACAAATAGAACCTTGTCTTTATCACTCATCCTAACAAAACCGGCTCAATGTAACATTTATAATCGCTCATTAACCAACATAGTCTACCTTACTGCAATTCTTGCCCCTACAACCAATGCAGCTCCAACCAGAACGCCTACCCCCAGGGATATAACGATCTCTCCCCAACAAGCCACCTTACAATCGGCAGATAGCCCTCCATTTGGCTCCGTTTCCTTTTCCTTTTTTGTCTCCATGATGCAATTCATTAACATCCTAAACCCGTCAAATGAATATTTATCATTATAATTTTATAACGTTTATTTTTTTTTACCTGGCCATTTGATTCTCGCCCCCGCCTTGTACGGTCGTGTTAATCGCGTCCAAGATAGCTCCACCAGCAACAGACACAACCTCCTTTCCAACCTCCTTTGCGACATCAACAGCATCTTCCATGGTTCCGACCACGGCCCCGACCGTCTGATTTAGGATACTACCTTTCATTTCTTTTATAATCTTAAAGCTTAAAAATAAAAAATTAAATATAATTTGCTAAAATATAAATTTTCATTCCTTTCCCACCAAATATTCCCAATTTAAATAATTCCCAACAAATTATATTCACCCATTTTACCAATAATCAAAATTCGAATTTAAAGATTTTACCAATCTTTTAATATTAACATTTCTTAAATAGTTAAAAAATATTTTCCTTCCCCAAATTCCTACAACACAAACGAAATTTTCGTCAATATGTATATCAATTAAATTTAATTTTTTTTCAAATATAAATAAGTAATCACTCCTTTGATGTTTCGCGTAAAAATGTATGAAAGGACGTTTTTCCTCTGTTAGGTAACTTTTCCACAAACCGGTTCCTGATTTCCTACATATCTGTTTCCGGTTCCCGCCAAATTTCTCTTCATAAAAGATTTCCCGCCAAATTTTCTCGGTTTCACTCTACATCTCTGGTTTTGTTCTTTCCAGCCTACAGATTTATCATTTTTAATCTTGAACATTTTAGTTCTGAAATGCAAAACTACAAGAAATTCCCTTTTTAATTCGTTTATTCTCAAGTTAAAATTACAGTTGCATCCGCCCAGTTTTCTG